TTCTTTTGTCATTATTCATACGATATGGTACTAGGCAATTAAAAGATTTGTTAAAAAGGCAAAGTTAAGCAGGAAAAAATGAAAAGGATGAGTTTTTTATTTCTTTTTTAATGCAAAGACTTCAACATAACACCAACACAAGTTCAAAACGTAATAGTAATGGTGAGATTTTAAATGTATTATATAAAGAATAAGAAATAAAGATATATGGGATTATGATAAGATTTAAACAATTTTTAATTACGAGTATTAGGGATAATTACAATGAAAAAATTGCATAATATATCAAAACCTATGTAACTACGAGTACACCACTGTATTTACTGATGAGGCTTTGAAATTTGAAATCCTAGGAAACGTACGCCTGATGGCACGTCTACTGTCTGGTAATTTCACGTTTTCAAACCGCAAGACGCGTCTACGTAGTTTCAGATATACAAATGTATTAATTATGTGGAAACCCCAGTGTCACTATTCTATGTCTAATAAACTATGTCCAAATATTTGATTTCAGAAATGGTTTTTAATCAACTTTCATGTCATATGTTACTTATTTTATAATATCTGCGAGGTTTCTCAATGTTTTAATATATTTCGTATAAAAAAAATTCGATTACTACTTTCACGATTTTAAGTATGTTAAATTGATCGAAAGAGTCTTTTAGATATAAATTCTACAAAAGCTTCTTGTTAAAAGTTATGTTACTTGATGAAAAGAGTTCACTGTTCTATGAAATTAAACGATGAAACAAGATAATGCTGACATTGTATAAAATATTAAAAAAGGAGCACATTGTGAGATTTAAAGGCCAAGCACTTTTTTTTCAATACTTTGCCACTTTCATTAATTTTCTTATTTAATTTATTTATTTATGTAGAAAGAACTAAAAATAAGGTAATCAATAGATTTAAAATTATCTCTCTTAGGATGTAGCGCGAATTTAGACATGTTTAAAATAATCAGAAACATGGCCTAAAATAAAAGAGAGCTGGACTGTTCATGGTTCTTTGACTTCTAAACAATACCGTATTATACGTAAATGTAAACAATCACTTATGTAAAGAGAGTTATTTTAGTGTTTGAGTTGCAATTTTATCAGTAATGAAAACCTCAGCTATTTTACCGTAACTATTTCAAAGTTAAGTCACTTCATACTTTTAAAACTTATTATAAAGTTCAAACAGCACTTTGGATAAGTTGAAAAGATAGAATTGTAGACAAAAAGTTATAAGAACATTATTAGATCAATAAGAGATTGAGAAACGATCTCTACATGTTTGTACGACTTATTTATTTGGAAGATACGTTCGATAATCTACACTTGTAGCAATTGATAGGTCTATTTTTATTTTCTGTTAACATTAAACAAGTGTGTCGGATGATCGTGGGCAGATCGACTGCTCGTGCATAACGAATGCACACTCACATGTTTTTTATAATTCCAACGGTATTTTAAAGTTTATTAGAGACGATTACTTTAGTAAACTCAAGTTTAACATTAAATATATTGATAGTACGAACTTAAAAGTACATAAAGGTCTCTCAACGCCTTTCAAATGCGATGAAATTGAATCGGTACTGATTCAACTAATCAAGTTTGTAATATAAGTCGATAAATAATAAAGTTTGATAGAGTAATAAGTAACACATGGCTGAGTTCAATTTTATCTTAAAACTATGGGGGCGCGTGATGGGAATACATTAAAAGTTGTGTCAAAGTAAATACTTCGCCCTAGATAACAACCGCTGTCGAAGGTCTATTGAGACGATATCTACCGCTGTAAGTTTTTGAATTATCAGTAAATAGTGTAACTTCAACATGATTATGTTTTAATTATATTTCGAATGATGGCATTTTACATTATTATTTTTTAATATAATAACAACAGAATGAAAAGTAGTGTAAGTTACTTTAATAACGTAAAAGTTGAAAGTCTTATAAAATCTTTTGCTAAGTGCAGAGCTTTTAGGAGACAAACCGCTGTGAGTTACTGTAAAATTAAGTCCACCAACTACTTATTAAACAACAAGTTTGAACTGAATAATACACAATATATAAAACATAACTCAATAATATACAAACTCAATATCAAGTAATGTTTCGAACGTTGTGCAAGCTTTAGATATGATCGATTTAATATTTATCAAGAGCTTATTTTATATCAATTGCGTTATCAATAATATCAAGTATGTTTTCAGTCTTTCCATCATTTTATACGCATTCACATTTCGTAAAAACTACAATGTTTATTATGATTTCTTATTCTGAAATTAGGGATTTATTAATTTATTGTATAATTTTTTTAATTTTGAAACATGATTACATCCGTATACAAGAATAGCCACCGACAACATTTAATATAAAGGTCGGATGTTATAAAATACGTTAACTGTTTATGCATTAAAATAGAGTAACGATATAGCGTATTAGATTTAAATTACGCAGTAAATAATTTCAGTATAATAATTTTAATATAATAATTCTTTGATGATTCCGTCAGCGGAGATTGTGTCGATTATGAATACTATGATATCATAATATTTTAGTCAGACTTGTCTCAATAACAGGTCTTGATTAGAAAATGTTAGAAAGATGCATACAGATTTACATGTCGACCTGATATTTATATCAGTCAAAGGCTTCAAAAAGCATGTCACAGTCAGTTTATTGCAGCAAAAATAAGTGATTTTTTTCTGATATATTATCTGGCGCAAAAATTAAATGCCGAATTGCTTAAATTCTATAAATGTTATTTGCACACCAAATTTCGAAAGTCTGCATTCTGTTTGGGTTTTAAAACGATAGGGATTGGAACGGAATGAAAATTGAATAAACCGCCGTTGAGTGTCGAAGTTTACTCGTGCCGTTTATGTCAAACGCTTCGTTAACCTTGTCCGCTTTCACTTATAGTGCTAAATCTAACCTTGCTACGAGTATGTTACTGAAGAAATTCATTACATCCAATTATAAATTCACTAGCTTAATTATCAATGAAGTGTATGGAAGTGTAGCAGACCCTCCGCAAGGACAAGGCCAAGATGATGAATTATTACTAAAAACACTATCTTCGTAGACAATACTTTTCAAAATTGCAGATATTTTTAATTTAGTTATTGTAGCCCGACTCTAAGCAGTGTTAGTGTAGTAACTTATTGTAGATTATAAATAGAACCTCAGTTAGGATCTCCGTTGAATGTTAGTGTATTTTAGTTCACAACTATGTTTTGCAGTTTTCTACCAAAAGGTGGATAATACATTCAGGTTTTCTTGAGATATTTCGCACAGTATTTTTCGAGAATAGCTTTAAGATTAATGTCGAAAGATACCAGATGCCTCTCTTCTAAAATAGCTAATTGTTTGTTGCATACATTTTTGTCTAAATTATAAATAGCGGCTTTATTTACGAAAAATATTAAAACATAGAATCTAAAATTATAAAGAAATACATTATTCTGTGTTTACTTCTTTTTAAGTTCTATCCTTCATATCAGAAAGTCTTGACAGCTTCCATCCATCTCTTCTGTATTCTTTTTTATGGTTGAACATTTCTATCGATTTCCAGCTACATATACAGTATCGTAAACGATAGTTAAACGGGATTTAGTATGTTTTAGTCAGGTCAACCCATCTAGCGTCGGCCATGTTGCATCTTTCCGCAATTACAAAATTTTGAAATAACTTTCCGAATAAAACAATGTTACCCTTATTTGTAAAAGTTATAACGCTAATCTACGTAACGATAGGTCAAACTATCTAAGAAAGTTATATAGAAACAACTAATTCCCGTACCCTTCAAATAGTTAATGTTTTGGAAACAATAGTGAGGGCTTGATTGTTTGTTATTGTGGCCTCTTGGACCCTTCTATTGATCTTTGTTTCTTACAATCTAGGAGGAACTTTAGTTGGCCTTTTCATGCATAATATATAATTAAAGTTTCTTATGTATGTTAACATATTTCCAATCTCATTAGTATTCCCTTTATTAAATGGTTAATGATGAAACGACATTGTAATAGTTAATGCGGCAAAGCGTTGTCGACTGTCCTAGTTCATGTGTTATAACTAGTATCTGAATTTTTAATTTTTATGGCGTACAACAGTGAATTAACAATTTACTTTCAATGTACATATATTGTTTGCTAAGGGCAGGCCAATTTGTTTGCGATCTATTTCTTCCGAGTTCATCTGAGATTACAAAAAAAATTGAGCACGTAGGCAGTCTTTATTATATTATTGAGTTTACTAAAAATACACTAATACAGATGCATCATGTTGTAACATACGTTTTATTTATATTTTTTTCTCAGCGGAAACCAACATAAACATAACAATATAAAACATTATATGATAAGTGGCTCTGAAGGCCGTAAGGTTCAGTGACCTGTTGCTACACATACGAAAGTATTTATGAATACAATACCTAAATATTTTACTTATATGCGTTATAAAATAGAACGCCGTTCGATAAATAGAATAATCGAGGTTACAATATTTCATCTTAACACAAATGATGCCCTGATTCTAAATAAAAAAGTTGATTTATAGGTACAAACGCGGAAGTAGGTAAGCTTCTGTTTTTACTTATCTTCATTAAGATTTATAATATTTAAAATAGGTTACTATTTTTGGTAATTAGGAGTCGTAATGGTAATACCATGTTTTTTAAAAGGGAGGGTGTCGGGCGTTCATGAATTGTTTGCCTTACTTTTTCGTGGATTAATCGTTTACCGGGAAGTTACCTTTGTTAGCGCGACCCCGCTACGCCCCGGATACTGTCCATTAACAACATGCAAGTTTAACGTTAATAGCTACCGTAAGTCCCACTGCTAATCCATATGACCTGTATGGGTAGAGATTTATGCCAAAAATTTATAAAGAAAGAACCCAACAGATTTAAAATACTATTTACGGTTGTACGTTCAGTCTTACAACCAGTATTAAAAATTCGTCGTTGAATTACATTAGTAATAACTTATTTTCCTTTTGTTACAGATAATGGGTACATTTCCCGCAATTCAGTTACAACAACTGAAAATATCTAGCAACATAAGTAATCACTAAGCAGGAAAAATGAATGCAACAACGGACATTATGGAGGCGTACTGCGTTCCCGGGGGACGAGAGTTCCAGCGAGTCTATATAAAAGTGCACGGCTACATCGCGCTCATTATTTGCCTGCTCGGCTCTGCGGCCAACTCCGTTAATATCGCTGTACTGAGTCGGAAGGAAATGATCTCATCCACTAACTCCATCCTGACCGCCCTCGCTGTAGCCGACCTCCTCGTCATGCTCGACTACATACCTCTCGCTTTGCACATCTACACAACTATCGGCTCCGAACTACACCGGAACTCCTACGGATGGGCCGTCTTCGTCTATTTCCATTCCATATTCAGTCAAACTTTTCATACTATATCAATATGGTTAACTATAACTCTTGCGATATGGCGATACATCGCTATCAAGTTTCCGCAGAAAAACAGAATTCTTTGTAATAAACGTAACACAAATCTGGCTATAGCTGTCGCTTACGTCGTTTGTCCTATAATGTGTCTGCCTATTTACTTCGCTATGGATATACAAGAGATACCTAACAAGAATAACAATGAGACTGGCATGATAGAACTAAATGAGACTTCGATGAACATGTCAAAAGATTACGACATAAAATATGCAATAACAATGACGAATAACGAGGATTTGTTAACAGCGATATTCTGGATATATAGCGTCTTTATCAAACTTATACCTTGTATAGTATTGTCCATTTTAAGCGTCTGTCTCATACTTAAAATGAAGTCAAGCGACCGAAGGAGACAAAAATTATTGAAAAAATCAGCACTGTTAACGAACGAGGTAATTTGTAAATTCTTTTACAATAACAATATATTCGTTGTGTCATTTTCTACCATGTATGTACTAAAAGTTGTCACAATTATTTTCCTTTTTTGTTTCATCGCTTGAATACAATCCAATTAAAATAAAAACAGAAACAAATAATGTTTTGTTTCTAAAGATGTTCTGCTTGTTTAAAGACAAAGACATTTGTTTCTGAAGTTAATAAAACATTAATACAACTGATGAAAGGAAAATATTCCTAAGAGTTCATATTGCTAAGTTTTTTACAAGGAACCATTTAGGTTGAATACATTTTTCTATGGGCATTATGTACATGTAATATATGTATTTTCCTTTATACTCCTATTTATGAGCCCTTTTACGTACAAGAGAGTATCAGGTGTAGCGGAAATTAGGTTTCCTCAATTTGTTCTCGTTAGAATATGTCATTTTTAAATCGTTAACAGGTACAGTCAGCGTCAATAGGATAATAAATAAAATTAATAATATTCTAAAACATCGATCTTACTAATTTTATAGATGTGAAAGTTTAGATGGATGGATGAATGTTTATTAGTTTGTAGCCTAAACGATAAAAATAGCCTATATATAAATATAAATTTATAGCCTAAACGACTAAACGGATTTGGCTGAAATTTGGCACAGATGTAAACCATAGTCTGGAATTTATTAATATAGGCTACTTACTTTTTTTTAATACCACGTGGATGGAGTCGCGGGTGAAAGCTAGTATATTATATTTCCATCATTTTCAACCATTAGAGCAAATATGCAAGAACATTATTTATATGATTTATCACAAAATACAACATGTATAGATTTTTCTCCGGTATCAATGAGTTATGAATATTAAAATTTTACAATTATACAAAGATTGGAGGTGATTGTCGGGAAATTTTATTTTTTAATACTTGATAAATAATATGTAGTTTTGTTGCTGACTGTACAAAATTACCATTCTTAACATCTGTTACAATATCCGTTAACTTTTATTGTAATGTTTAATTTTTTAAATGACTCTGATGCATTGTTTTGGTAAAATAGATAAAAAAATATTTATTTAGATATATTGTTTATCTATAACGCGAACACACGCACACGCATTACGCTTATTTGTCAATTTAATTTATACGTTAATTAATTTTTAACGTAATTAGAAAGGTCTCTAGTCTGTCTTTTGTCTGCCCTTTGTCGTGTTACATTTACGTACTTACGGTGGGTTTCGACTGTATTGACACTTGTATATGTATTAAAATAAGACTAACGCCGTTCGAAACCCACTGATAGATGAAATATATCAATATTGATAATACTGATATAATGCAGGCTGAAAAAGCTCGACTAAAAGAGGACTCCGGTGGTGGTAAACGCGCGGCGAGTGGCGGTGGACGAACGGATCGTACAACGAGAATGCTCGTCGCTTTACTGGGGCTCTTCCTAGCTACAGAACTGCCGCAAGCATTGTTTGGTTTACTTACCGCAATAGCTCCACATCTTTTTCAACAATGTTACTACTCATTTGGTAAGTTTGGTTAACATAGCTTAATAAATCTCTAATAACTTTACCTCAACGATTATCCAAATATCCAAATATGTGCTTATATAATTTTTCGTACTTGTGAATTACAGTAATTAACGTGAAATGTTAAGGTAATTTGAGTGCTTCATATTCAGAATCGCTGACGTGTTTCGTTACGATAATATTCACCGGTTTATATGGATTGGCAGCTTGTTTGAGAACGTACAGCAACCAATTAACGCTGAATTTTATACTTTGCAAAACATTTTTGATATGTTAGGCAACACTTTTATTTCATGCAAATGAGAGTCACGTGTTGTGTTACTCTTGTTACCGTTAATTAATAACCTAAAGATATTGATTAATGCAATCCATAAATGCTTTTTTAGAATAAGAAGAATAATATCCCAGTCTGTAATATTCACATTACATGTGAATAGGGTTGAGAAAGGCATTTCTGATGTCTTACTCAACGGACAAATCTTATCGTTATATACTCTTTGTCAAAATGTATTATAATAAGCCATAGTTACTAATTATACTTCTAAGTTTTTCTCTCTTAAGTTATTTCTGCGAAGTCAAACGACTACAGGAATGTAATAAGTGAATTTTCTTTAGAAGTTCTCAACTAATTGAAACATTATTTCATTCGTTCAGATTTCGTTAAAATATCACGACCTCTTTTGTAAATCACAAAATATTTCTTTGAACAACTGTTTAGTCTAGAAATTGCGCAATATCTATTTTAATTAAAATGTGAACTTTCATAAAGCTAACATTGTATTTACTTATTAGTAGAACAAAGACACTTCATTTTAATGAATCATACTTCAACATTTAATAAGAATTAAATACAAATTAATAACTCTCTCCACAGGCGAGGTTATGGATCTTATGGCCTTGGTAGGGTCTGCCGTGAACTTTGTTCTGTACTGCAGTATGAGCAGGCAGTTCCGCAACACCTTCAGACGGCTCGCCCGAAAGCTGCTGCCGATGCAGCGCAGGACTTCAGAACTAGGGACTGCGAGGAAAGCGTAGCAGTCACAGTCCGGCCCTGCCACTTCTGTCACATATCTATGAACTGTACTACAAACGAAACCATATAAATATTATGGATGTAGTACAAATTATGTACTGTCAATTATTTTATTGACCCGTTTTAGTGATATATAGAAATATTCATGGTGAAAAGAACAATTTAGGAGTTTTGAAGTGAAAGCAAACAAAAACAAGTGAGTGTTGATATTTTATACATTCAGTGTTTTCATAATTAGGCATTTATTGGTGGTAAAAGTATACTTCTTATAATAAAACAAATAATTTTTTAAAGCAAACTTGATGCAAATGAAATGGTTATAACGAGAAAAGTTGTAAACTGTATCTAAAAGGATTTTAAACGTTAAAATATTTCTTTAGTTTTAATGCTGTCGTAAGGGATCATTGTTTAATATATAAAACAAGTATAGTTTAAAGTAACATAATGATTATAACATGGTGCTTAATTCTATGTCAAATTATATCATTTTAAACTTGTGCCATTGTCGTTACATTACTTGAAATGGAATACCTAGTCATTGTGTACTCTTAGTTTAAATATTGCTTGTAAAATATAATTCTAATTCTTAGCATAATCATTAATAATGATTTAAACAAACGCATAGAAAATTAATAACAGTAATAAAAAACTTCAAATTTAAAATATTGAAGATTTTTTTTTCTATTGTATACATTTATGATTATCAAATAACAGTTTCGTTATTCTCAAAATTTTGAATGCCTATTGTATTATAGAATTTATGAAGTTTTCGTAAACACAAAAATTAAGTTACTAGTGTAAATATTTTGAATAAGTCAATCACATTTGATGTAACATAACATGACCCTATTATATAAGCAAGTTGTCAGTAATCTTGTTCGGATTTGCAGAACTTGTAAAGCGGCAAGACCCCAAACAATTTATAAGTGGATGTAACAAGTTTATGTTTAGGTTATGTCGATTATTGGTTTGGTTTTGGGTTGTATTCGTATTACAAAGTTTTCAGTGTTGTATATAGCATTTCCGTAGCAGAAGTCATAATCGTATGCTAGAAATGTTATTCACGTTTTAAAATTAAGACTAGCATGATATCAGGGGTTATCAAAATCCATTAAGACATAATTCTTCATTGCAACTTCATAAAATCTTAATGTAAATTACATTATAACGGTATTAAAATACTGATGAATTGATAACCCCCTTATTTTGGGAAGTCAATTAAAAAGTGTTTATTTTTTTCTTAACGAGTTAAGATGGTATTGGATTATAAGGACGGTCTAATTTTTTTTTACAAAAATGCTACATTAAACGATTCAGTGTATAAAAAGCGATTTAATTAATATTATTACAATGAGGAGATTAAGGGCCTGTTCCACCAAATTGTAAATTGTCTGATTACAATCGAACGTGAAAAATATGTGATGGAAATATTTGATTTTGTTCCCTTATCTGACAGTGACGTCATTTTTAAGTTATCTGAGCAACTATCAGCCAGTGGTGGGACAGGCCCTAAAAAGTGTTATTCTGATGTATATGTATAAGAATTCTTATTAGAATATAACATTAAGATAAAATTGTAAGACTAGTGAGTATTTTCTTTTTATCATCAACGTACTGAAAACTATAACTGTCCAACAACAGAAATTAAAAATAGATATAGTGTAATAGTGTACACAAAATTAGTATCGTCTTTGATCTTTTTTTGATTGATGTGGATCTTTGTTTTAAAACACATGTTCACAAAAAAAGAAGGTCTTTTTATTAGAGACTGTAGCTCTATCACTAACATTTACAACTTTCTTAAAATAATAAAATTATTGTAGTATTCTTTAACTTTATTTATTTTCTACATTGTAAAATAAATCTTTATATGAGGAGACTTATAGTGAAAATACATATTAGATTGTATATGTAGTCAACTAAATATGTAATAACGATAAAGTACTGTAACATAATAAAATAATCCTATAATAAGTTATATTTTACGATTAAAATAATTTTTTTAAGGAGTTTTTAATTTATTCACAAATACATCTTCAACCACAAGTCCTTTTTTAATGACCATGTATTTAACTTATATAATTCTACATATTTTTTAAAAGTAATACAAATAGTTCTTTTGCCGCACTATACTTTGGTCAATGTCGGATGACACAGTTTGTTTAAAAAGATCGCACTGAAAACACACCCAATTTCGGAAATGGATTTTGTCCCCGGAAACTATGGTATACATATCAAATATTCCAATGGTTTCAGTTCACTTCAGTTTGAAGCACAGAAATGCTTTTTGACGTTGCAAATGGAACAGCTAAGCAGAGGTGTAGATTCAACACTATTTTTTTGTTAAATGCCATAAGTGCATTAATATTAACATTCCAAGGAATTGAAAGTTAGGTAATGTCTAGAAACGCAAGTCAGAAAGGTTAATATCTTTTCCCTGCTCATCCCTTTCCTTGTAAGGTAGGCAGTGTTTCTGCTGTCAATGTACCTTTTAACTTCTTAAAGATATCTAAGAACGATCATTCGCTATTTTAACGAAACAAGATGGCAGCTTTGTCCTATATCTAGCATATATAAAGAAAATTATAATTACCTAGTCTGCACCTAGTGGTAAACCAAAGTAGGCTGATAATGCCTTATTTCAACAGCGTATTTTTTCCAAGCAAAAAGGGTAAGGTTGTATATCACGTAACGTTGGCATCTTATTCACTCACGGAATCCGAAATTTATCATGTCTTGCTTTTCGTGGCATAAAAGTCTGCGATACGGAGGAATGAAGCGTCCAATTTGATACATTAGAGAGATAGTTGAGAAATTATGATCTGCTTGTTTGTAAAAACGTAGTACATCTAGCGTAATAAAAAGTCCTAAATCTTAGGTTTTACGTTTGTGTTATTGGTCTTTTATTTATTTATTGTAATCTATACTATTATAATAAAGCGTAAACACACACTTCTTTGTTGCCTAAGATGTCAGCAATTACAGCACATCTTTTTCTTTAATAAAAAGCCCTACGCTTGCGTCACGCTTTAGGCTATATGTTTTAACGCCATTAAACTTAGGGGGTAACTATTTTGCATAAAAACCCTAATGTGGGAAAGAGACCATAAGTTGCTGCCAACATCAAGGAAGCAAGGTTGTCATCATATCATGTCATTTTGACATTTGTAATTGATAATTTGACAAACGTAATCAATAAAACAAAATTTTCACAATTTTATGCGGATGAAGTCGCACGGGAACAGCTAGTTAATTTATACAAACATCTATACAAAGTAAAAATAATAAGTACCCCTTCGGGCATGCAATGTAATTTTTCCTGTAGGTTATAAATATCGTAATTTTATTCATTACTGAATATTGATAAGCTGTGTTACAACTGCAGAACATAAATATCATAATTAATTTAAAACATTGTTTAACGAAACACTTATGTTCTAAAAAGCAGTGATAATCAGGGATGTCATAAATATTTTTAAAGTCTAGTTAGCACTAACAAGGGACACCTTACGCATGAATACGATAACGAATATAAAATGAAGGCGAAAGAGGGTCACAAATCATAACACTTAAGAGCATTTACGATTAATATAATGGTACCATCAATTACGACTTAACTGTTCATAAAATAGATACTTTACACATATATTGGGAAGGGATGAGAAATTTTGTCTATATTTATGCAAAAAAGGTAATAGATTTAATTCTTTTTGGTTGAATTTAATACCCGATTTAATTATTTCATCAACATAAGACATTCGATAATGTTGATGATAAATATTGGGGACTAACCATACGTATTTATACCAAACATATATACTTATTTTATGTGTGCTGATAAAAGCAAAACTAAAGCGGTTTGCGCTTTAAATAAAACGAATAAGCGGAAATAAGAATTTTCATCCTTTATCCTTCCACAAGTTGCAGGTAATTTCGTGGATTTTTTGTTATAACAACAAAAGAATATCTAATACCATACAAAGAGACGAGGGCTTGCTTGACTAAAAGATACTCATCAGATTACAAAAACAACTAAATATGTTATAAATTCTGATTATTCGATACTCGTTATCAGAAAGGAGTATCCAGTGAGAATAGTCCTCACATCTTTCGTGTGTTTGTCCCTCGTAGTCGTATATCTTTTCCTGTGAGAATTTACTTATGGAGATAATGTCGCCGCCACCACTTACTTAACAGCAATAGATGAAAAGTATCCAATTTTGCGAAACGCGTTTCGGCCTCGTAAAAAGTTTTTAGGCCGCTCGGACTTTATCGTGGTTACTCTTTATGTATATATTTTCTCACCCACTACCGTCGGCTAAAATAAGTAATCTTTATTTGATCTTACTTAAATTTCTTTGCGATCATTGGATTTTTACATTTGCTTTCATAAATGTGTAAAACTTTACTTATAGTGATTTTTTTTGGTATTAGTAGAAAATGTATTAATGGCATTTTAAATTTAACGCGATTTAAATTCATGCAGGCTCAGCAGAATGTTCTAGAACTCCCAAACTTTGTTTGCAAAATTTGCAAAAAGGAAACTTAAATACAATCGTTATCAAAATCAATTTATGTTTTGGGACGTTTAATTTACCGCTAAGACAGATGCTTTCAGTTTGATTGCTTATAAATGGACTTTGAATGTCTCCTTTTAGTTAAGCCTACTCAAAAAGATTTGTTAGAAAGATATTACTCTTTTTCTGTTTATTGAAACAGATTAAAGTACTATAAAATAATTTGCTTAGCCTTTGTAAGATTTTAATCCTTGATTTTCAAAATGCTGAAGATGTTAATGATGACAATAGTGTTAACAAACACTTTTGAATTGGATAATTTTTCTTAAAATGTTGTAAAACAGTGTATCTTTAACAGGAGCAGAAAGACAGATTTGCGTCGCGACGCTCGAAGACAAAGATAAAGAGCTTCCATCTTGAAGTGAGCGAACATGAAAATAATGTTTTAAAAATGTAAAAATATATCTGTCTTTCTTATCTTACCAATTTAGAGCAAGTCCCCTAAGTATCTCGATGGCAAGTAACATCTCTTTTTATTTCTATTTTGAAGCAAGTATAGTTAATAACATTTAATTTCGCTTTGAACTAAAAGAAAATAGTAACATTATTATGTCTAAAACATGATTGACGCAAACGAATACGAGGTCCCAGATGGAACTTTACAGGTCATCTCTAATATCTCTCACTTTTCTCAAAAATGTAATTTAGGAAACTTCATACATCAAAACTCTTTATAGATAATAAAAATTAAAATTTGATAATAAG